GTAATAATTAGCTACATGACAAAAAATTAATAACAAAAAGAGCTTTTCGCTCTCTGTTAAAATAATTTTTTTACCTGTTCTAAGGAGACTGTTTGGTGGAAATGAACTGGCACCGACTGTCCAGAAAGTCTTTGTTGTTGTTGCACATGGATGTAATGAGGAGGCATCATTTGTCCCTGCTGATGAGCATAAACGGCAGGTTGCTGCTGCGGCATTTGTCCTCGGACTGCGAAACCCTTGAAAATAAAGTATGCAAAATCTCATAATTCAAATCTCTTATGCTTAAAGCATAATTAAGTAAGGTAAGAAAAAATATTTAGCCAACTTTCGGAATACTATGGATGAAAATATTATTTATTAAAGTAATCATTCGTAACCGGTCATACAAAACTAAATCACCAGACATATCATTATCGAAGTCAAGCTACACCATTTCAAACTCACAGCAAGCATTGGACGTCTCTGGTTGTATTGAGGATAATATGCCTGAGGTAACTGCTGCGCCGGTACGCCTTGCTGTTGTGGAGGAACTATTTGCTGATGCCTTTCCATGTTGACCTAGAATATGCAACATAAAGTGCTCCATCCAACATAACTTTCCTGAGCGTCTTCATTTTTATATTTCTTTGAATTAAAATGTGTCCAAATCGAAAGCTGATAACAATAGTAACACTAAAAACGGGCTGTAATCCAAAAAAAAAAGATTCAGAGAAAGTTTAGTACACTGATCTCTGTAGACTTTTATAAGAGGATCATCTACGGTGCATTGCACTCACTGTCATTAACAAATAAAACAATTGAAGTGTCGGAAAAATCAAAGACAAAAATTATACCTCCTGAGGCGTTGGTCGTATTTGCTGCTGTTCAGAATGCGCATGCGCCGAGGTAGTTAAATGAGAAGCTTCCATTGGGGTTGCTGAGGGACGCATCCGACCAGGCTGCACTGCTGTACTCATTGAGCTTTGCCCCATATATGGATATGAAGAATAACCTACACACATATTAAGAATAATTTAAAAATTTTTAATCTCTTTTCTTCCATTTCCACTTATAATGCTTGAAAAGTGGTTGGTGCTTTAAATATCCAAAATTTGAATTTATGTTAAGGCGAAGATAATTTCGCAAGAAGAAAGGTATCATACCAGCAGTTCCCTGAGTTTGTGGAGAAGGCGTTGACATGTGCTGCATTACCGGAGCAGCAGAAAGACGCGACATATGTGTGTGTTGCAAATTATGCATGTTGGCGCTAGCAACTGGTGATGAACTTCTGAAATTTTAAAAACATTAATAAACATCATGATGTCAGACTCGTAATATCTTGTTACATATAGTAATGGAATTTTATCACGAAAAAATACAATAAATTCAAAAGTTACTTCATATTTCTCAACTTCATAGACAATAGTTGCATTGGCAGAGCAAGTAAAAATTTACTGACCGATTATAAACTTATAAAAATAAGAACAGAAAGAAAACGACGATGCCATCAAGAGGAAAATAACAATGTAAAGTCATAATTTCCATCAAGTGTAAAATGACTAATGAATGTGAAAGGGAATATTAGCCTGCATTATGATTAGCAATGTGCACAAACTTTCTCCCATCATTACCTTAATAAGTTAACCAGCAATGGGCTACTAGTATTGGATGCCGTTTGAGGTTGCCGCTGCTTTACAGAAGCCACTGCAGTAGTTGCACTGGGTTGTCCAGCAGCCGTTCCCACATAACCGTGCGTTCCGATCGCTGTCTGATATATATCGTTATTAATCACACCAGCTTTTCGTTTACTTGGTGTATGACCAGATGAAGTTGATGGCGTCAATTCATGTCGGCTATTTTCACTATAAAGCAGTAAATATAATGGTTGCGCATATCTTCAAAGAAGTGTAACATGAAAAATTTCTAATAAAAAAAAGATTTCAAAATTTTTATGTCATGCATAGTAATGCTTCTGTTTTCCTCTTGTTGATTTGCTCAAAAAATCAAAAGTTCCATAAAATTTTTAACCGAAACACACCTTTGATAAGGGTTATAAGCACGTGCTCGATCAGTAACATTATTACCGATTGGCACACCAGCCAAGGAATTCATTTCAGAACCTGTGCTGGGATATGGAAGTGAAAGTAAGCTTAGCGTTGCATCATTCACAGTCACTGGCAACAGATCTGATTCACCGACCTTTACTGAGGTTATACCTGAAAATATGGATTGAATTACATATTTAAACTAATCCTTAATGCCTTAATAGATCTCTTAGCTACTTTTTCGTATTTCTTCATTCCATGTTCTAGAACTATGCAATTGAGAGAGCCAGTTAGCAATAAAAATTTATAACATTAAAATCATACTTAAATGTTTCAATGTAGTTGGTTGTTTCAATGCTATCCGCAATAATTTATGGGAAATATTAGACGGTAACAAAAATCTGCACCGACGACGGACAATTCGAGACAACTGACAATCCTGTAATGTTGCTTTCTCGTCAAAAATATTAGTTTCAGCTGTACTGGTAGATGGATAGGTTTCGTCTGTCAGCGTTCCTGAACTGGACGACAAAAGAATATCGTCCGTTGGTACACTCGATGAAGGTTCATAACTGCAGCTATTGCTCTTCTGTTCTTCCACTGAAACAATGATATTTTTAATAAGTAATGTCATGTCTTAATGTTTTTGTCTTGATAAGTTCATAAGATCATCTTTAAATATCAATATATTCTTGTATAAGTATTCGATTTTAATTTTTTGTAAAGCTTTACAACTTTTCTTATAACAGAAATAAACGCGGTTAAAACTTTTTCCCATGCTATAGCTTGGCTCATACTCACCAATGAATCAGTGAACACACAACTTAAGGACTCCTTAACATACTGCATTTGAAGCATCCCAAAACTCAGTCCATCAAAACTTACCTTTGTTTAATGACACTGTAAGGCAAGGAGTCAATATACGATCGTCAACTGCTGATGAATTCGAAAGGGTAGCGCCAGTGGCACAATCAGGCTGTGACGATGACGAAGGTGATGAACAATTAGGAAAATTTGTTGGAGTTGTTGCCGTTGAAATGGACGCCGCCGGAGTTGTCCTATCGGTTCCAGAAAGATTATGTGTTTCTGCTGCTGCTTGTTGGTTGGTACCAAGCGACCGCTGCTCAGATTGCGGTTCTACACAAATACCGGCACACGACCACTGTTCGTTCATGCGGCATTCATAAGACGCTGAAACAAGGTTTTTTAACAACCAAATTTTTCCATAAAGAAATTATAATAAAATCTGTAAACATTTGAAGAAAATCATGCGATAAAATTATTTGGAGTTCACTGTCTAGAATATAGAAAATGAATTCCATATAACTAAAAATAATTTGCAAAGTAAAAGATAAGGAACTGATTTCACGAATATATCACATTCCTGCTCTTGATAGAAAAATGTGTTTTTACGTCTATGGAGAAACCATATGAGCACTAAAAACATTAATGACTACGGTAAACAATGAAACTGGGATAAACTATCGTTCCAACTTTTAAGTAAGCTCACATTTTGCGCGAAAAGCTTTTCACCGCCGAATTTTGGCCGCGTTCATTAGATTATCAAAAATCTGAAAATTAAACCATTGGGTAAATTAAACTACAATGAGCATACACGTATACACAAGTATAAACATAACGAGTATACATAATAATGCGAAAACACGTCAGCCTTTTTGACATGCTTCACATCGAGCATATAAAAAAGATTCAAAACACGTAAGGATAATTGCATTACAATCAATATTCATAGTATTCTATATTCTAACAATTTCCCTCTTATCTTTTAAAGATTAATCGTCTAGTCATAAGAAATTTTATCTTTGACGTCCATACTTCAACATGATGTCTATCACATCCTCTCTTCTCATTCTTGTTAGTATACCTTGTAAATGTTTTTGTAGCCGTTGTAAAACTTGAAATATCTTACAACACATTTTTCTACACACAAACGCATGACGAATATGTCGAATAACTTTTACCGCTCTATCTTCGATACTGCTTAGGAAAGGTTCATCAAACACAGGGCAAAGTTCTTTCTCACAATATATTCTCGTATTATCAAACCGCAAGATTTATATAAATGACACTAATTAATCAATTTCTTCTAATATAACCGTCACGATTACGGTTTAGCCAAAATTGATCCCAACAATAAAAAACGAAAAAACAAAAGTAACAATGTTATCTATTTAATATATTAATGAATTTCCTTATAAAACAAATACTGAGATCTCTCATTCCCTTCAGCTTATCAATTTACTCCTAATCAACAATAATGTTTGCACAATTTTGCACATTATACGAATTCACACATTTTAATTTCAATCAAAGCGTGGGGTCATTAATGGCTTTCCAACTAGCTGATGCACTCAAGATCGGAAGGATTTTAACTGCTGCATATGTTTAATACGATTTTTGCTAACATTAAAGGCACATCTTCTCACAAAACAAGAGCAATTATTATCTACTAGGCACAGTTACCATGTGCCTCACTCATATCCATCTACATTAGCAATCGTATACAACAAGGAGAGATAGTAATAGGATATACAACTTCCAGGATTAATTCTCACTTCTTCCCATGGTTCATAAAGTCACTAATAGCAACGATCATTTTCTAACGTATCGATCGAATCATATCATTCAACATGTACAAACGTGAGGATCTCTAATGTGATATAAGAAACTGACATGAAATTATATGTTTAAGCTTGAAAATAAGAGAAAGAGAGAAAGAGAAGGAAATGAATATCCATACGAAGCACGTCATACAATACGCAGCAGACAATTTACCATCCTTCCCATCAGATCGATATTTATTAACCAGAAGTGAAGTTAGCATGAACAACGACTAATAGAGAAGGAGGAGACAAATGACCTTTATAGCATTCAATAATAGATTATATGAAGCTAATGGATACGGCAACAGAAATTTGAATCTAAATTGGCAAAAGAATAATGGAATGTTCACTGTCATGGCCTAACAACCTGAAGTGTATTGTGACAGCTACAGCCATCAGCCAATAACGCCATATCCATGAAGAAGGCCTCATAATACATCAATTGGATGTCCATTAGCAGAGCAGCAATATCATACAAGTGACCGCCATATTGTGGCCAGCATATCGCCAATGCTGCACTGATCACTGTAGCACCCATAATGCCATACAACCGAGACGGATGCGCTGCAGTCCCAGTACTAGCGGAAAGGGTAGAACACATATGAACACAGTAAGGAGTGGTCAGGTCGGGTTGGCACTGTTCCAAAGGTAGCGAACAAGTGCTGTGAAGATATGAGAGGATGTTGTTTGGATAGCCAACAATGATATATAACATTCCATAAGAGAAAAAACACGCGCTATGTGACGCAACGTCCGTGCTACATCACGCTACTCTTTACAAATATACCCAACGCGACGCAATGTATCTGTAGAAGCAAAGGATCCGCTGAGCAGCCGCATCACTAGCGGCAGCAACAAAGCAGTACTGTTGACTCTCACATTCCTCTTTATCTCTGCCTGCCCCTCCTACAGTGCTTGCGAACGCCTCCGCTATCGACCGCTCGCATTCGCAAGCCATCCACGTCCGCTGCATTAATGCGAGCGACACTGCCGCGCTGCACGATGATTACACCATCCGCTTTGTCATAAGCAAAGGCATACGGTAGATGGGCGCCTTCTTGAAGCATTGCCGACCTTGCACACATCGATTGAAGGAGACATTCAGGAACAAACCCGATCCATAGGTCAACGGGCAAGGCGCATTTGTCGGTCGAGTGAAGCCTTGCATACTGGGAAATAGAAAGGTAAACGATGAATTTGCCACACGAAGCACTGAACGCTCACAGCATTACGGCTTCAGATCAGCTGATCTACAAGACGTTCCCATCTCACGAATGTTTCTCACTTGTCTTGCACTCCTGGTTCCATAAAAACGTTTACGTCGAGTCTGCACACGAATTTGTGATAGATTGTAGAGCCATGTGAAAGACCGGAAGATGAGTCAGCTGACAAGCGCGCAACCATCTTACGCTTCTCAACTTGATCATCCCATCACTGCTTATCTGTGTGACTCTCCTTTCTTCTAACCTCCCCAAAGGATACAACTCACGACCACCAATTTACCACGACTCTGTCATTCGTCCATTTATCAGATAAAACATTTGGGTATTTTGAGTGCAAACATACATGATGTACAGATTTTATAATTCGAACTTCCAAACACATATAAGAACAAAAATAACAATAACAGTGAGAAGTCTAATCGAACAATCCAAATCCCATGTCTTCATCAGATTCTTCTTTTGGTTCCTCCTTCTTATCTTCTGAAAACACATTTCTTTGTCCTTTCTGAGAAACAAAAATAATTTATATAATCTCGAAAGTCCAGAGTCAAATAGTGCACCTTTTTTAGATTCTGCCTCTGATGCACCAGTAGGAGCTGTTGAAGCGACTGAAGCTACTGCTGCTGCTGCATCTCCTGAGGGCACTGATGAGATTTTTGCCAGACCAGCTGTAATTACCTGCAATTTTTTAAGTAATATATCTTTTCATCGAAACTAATGCTATCACTTTGAATGTAATTTTCAGGTTTACAGAGCACTTACTTACATCATTAGCGCAAATTAATCTAATTTAAAGTGCCGAAACTTACGGAAACATTTTGGATTATAAAAACATATTGGAACCAACTTATAAGATAGAAAATGCCAACGAAAAATATATTAAAATAACAGAACCTTGCGGTTATCAAGATAAAAGAGAGCTTACGCCTATAAACTCTATTTAGAAGCTGAAAAACGCAAAGGCTTTTTTTCAATACTTAGCCATCAGGGGAACTGCAAGAACATCCTATTGTCAGCTACAAAATGGAATTTCATAAGGTGAGAAAGCAGTGCGTAGGCGGCTACGTATTGCGAGAAAAAACATTTCTAGTTACTTAATACTATTCAATTAAAGCTTATTACGGTAAAAATAAAATAGACTATGGAAAAGCGTCTAATTTTCAACACGATCAAAAGGTACACCTCATTAATGGATTTTCCAGATAAGGCTGACACCACTTTATTTGCATCTTCCATATCAACATCAAGTCCAACTGATCCTTAAAAGAAACATAATGTGCCATTTGATTTGCAATTAAAAATTCGCACGATGATATAGTATATATATATATATAAACAAACCACGTGTATCATATTTAGCTGGGAATTTTAAATAACTTAAGTTCAATAAAATATATTAAAAAATTGCAATTGAGGAAATCAATGTTTGTAAAAGAAAAATAGCAGAGTGGGATTTCACTCGAAGTGAAATTCACTCTTCCTGCATGCAAGATATATTACATTTAAAGCAATCAAAATCATTTTAGACGATTTGAAGAAAGGAAATTCAAAAGAAGGGATGTACTCCTTACCAAGCACGTTCTCAATGTCTTTTGTTGTCGGCGATTTATTTCCACCCATTGTAGTCAATAAATAAGCAGCCAAATACTTCATTGTACTATCTGGCAATATACAAAATCAAGCAACATTAGAAGTAAACATGAAAAGCTTGATCTTCCATCCCTGTTACCATCCATCTCTCGTTACCCTTTGCAAAATCTCAGGAAGACAAAGTGTACAGAGGAAGCCTCATTATTACCGCTGATTGCAAAGGCAATGCAACTTAACAATTAAAATAAGTCTTAAAAGAAGCTAAAGAATAAACTACTCCTACGCACACCTCAAAACATAGGCCTAATAAGCCCAACCCCTCCCCTTTCTCACCTTCTTGGCATCTCATCAAAATTTTAAAACAGCTCTAAAGCCCTGCCCGCTGTTGCAGCATAATATCTCCTATTAAATGATGTAACGAAGTTCTTGTAAGTGTCGCGATAATGCGGGGGTGACAGGAAGCAGAACCGTACATATACAGACAAATGCCCCTGCACACGTACGTATTTGCATTCAGAAGCTTTGAACAATAGAACGGAGTGAAGGAAAGATGCATGTCTTTTCCTTAAACTGTGGGAATATTAGTGAACGGTTAGAGGTAAACAGTAATTTCTAAAGAGAAACATTGATCACAAAAGCATGAATGCATGAAATTGAAGTATAATACGACAGCTCGGATGTATCGGTGAGGTTGTTATTCATGTGATGATGTCATGTCATTTTAAGCAAATAATATGCTCAGTAAATCGGCAGTGGATTTTTTGAAAGCATGTTGTGCTTCGTAGATTCATATCATTCATATTGGAAGATGTGGTCATGCATTACATTTACATAAAATTGCATGCAACATTTATCATTCATTTAGAAATCATTGAATGGCGAAGTTAGGAAGGTTTGATTTCAGATGTCTAAACTGCATTGATTTTCTATCCAGTTTTGTTCGCATAGTTGTTATTCGTTAGTACTTGTTATACTCTTTTCATTTTCTTATTTACAAATTTCCCGTCAGGATTTACCGTACGGAAGGTATCATCATAAGATCATTTATGTTTTCTTACTAGTTTCGTTGTCCAACTGATACAACAATAATAATGAATCTTTATCATTATGATGTGTTATTTTCTGAAAAGATTATTGCTCATTCAAATACTTTAATCAAATTTTATTCATGGTTATAATTACAAAGATCATGTTCGTTGCAGCAGCAAAAGCTGACAGGTACACCTTGGAAAGTCGTACTTCTGCATGTGTTCGCTGATAACTGAAAACATTAAATTGCGGTAGTGTTTTCCTGAGATCGTAAAGAGATGGGAGATTTCGAGAAATTTTCTTGAACTTTTTTCATATACCGAGATACATTCTTATTGGTTTGATTTAATACATGTACGCCCGTTAAGCAAAACATTTACCATGCATCTATAGGTTGAGCAACCAGCTTTCATAATCTTCAAAACAAATGCAGCATCAGCAGTCATGTTATAGCAATGTGCTGTTTCATGCTCGCATTCTTCTGTTTCTGTACCAAATGATTGACCTCGAACAAGTCGAAATCCCTGAAATTAGGAAGTTCAACTACTACATATTACTACTACTAATTGTTGGATTACGAAGTTCAGCAATAAGTAGTAATATGTACTAGTTGAACTTATTTTTATGATTTTATGGTGACATAATGCTATAGCTAAGATATTTCTAATCTCTTAAAGTGTTTGTATTACGCTTTCAAGATAAAATATCATTCTCCCTCCTTCCTTCCCCCCTTCCCACCCCAAAACTGTCGAACGAACAGAAGCAGTATTTTTATTACTAGTGATGTTAATTTGCTTGATATTCTTCAAAATGACTTACTTTATAACATGTAAGCGAATACACAACGGGAACAAAAATTGTGCCCATCAACAGCAATAATAAATAAAGAAATTGTTGTGATACCATTCTGAGAAGAATTTACAATGTGCAGGTGGTATTTTTGATGTTCTGAAAGAAGAAGTAAGTACGATTATATTTTCTAACATGCTTCGTATAGCTTCCACTCTTTTTTAATTTACCGTAGAAAAAAGTGTCCATTGGATAGGAAATTTAAAAAAAGACAAAAAACAACGAAGAAAAATTAGCGATTTGTGGTATTGGAGTGATCGAAAAAGTTTATGTTACTCATTTGGTATAGCATAAATTTTCCAGTGGGAGTTCACTGTTTTTATCGTAAATGATTTATTGTTCATTAATACTGCACGCTACATGAACGATGACGCTGTCAAGTTGCAATAAGTTGCCCTAAATAAAGTTGCTGCTCAAATCGATTCCTTTTATGGTTGAACTTTGCCATTCAATATTGATAGAAGGGAGCATATAATTTCTATTTTAAAAAATTTTCTTTTTTTCCATTTGTTGTTATACAAATAAAATTTTTCATTTTATTGAACAGTTAAGAATTTTCATATTACTAAGCAAATACTTATTTAATGAATGAATGGATTAGATGAGAAATGAGAAGAAACTGATTACAAATGTATGGATTCATTGAACAATTTAGTATTGATAAATGTAAAAAAAATTATTGAAAATTCATAAATTTATAGCTAATTTAGACGATCAAGAATGAATGAGTTATTGAATCCTTTGAAATATTATTTAATTATTCCTGATCACTGAACCAATTCCTGCAATTGTTTTCAATGTTTGTGAGCAATAACATTAGTGATCGATCAATAATTAAGGGACAACTGATAGTAGAAATGTGTTTAAAGATAAGGTGGAGAGGAGAAAAAAACTTGCTTACAATCTTAAGAGACACAGGGGATGGTGGAGGGACTGACTGGAACTTTGATTAACGTGACCTTTGTTGGAGTAAAACGAGTGGAGAGAGGATGAGTGGTATCTTAGCAAGTATAATCTACAGCTTAATGATCTATCAAATACATCAACAACTTTGCAATTAAGGATACTTTTTTCGATCCGTCTTTATCACACTTAAATCTTAATGATCAAAGATCAAATGTAAATGATGAATTGATCTTGAATACTGTGCATGAACGCCTGAAATCAGATTAACTTCAATCTGCGATTAATCATTTCAATTAAAGTTTCCACCTTAAAATCACTAAAAAACAAAATTAATAAAATCACTAAAAAACAAAATTAAGAACGAAGGTTTGAAAGGTCAATTTTATCCTGAAACTACCATATTTTTAGTAATGGAAAATTTTGCGGGAAAGGAATAGTACAACATCTTGAAGCTTCTCGAAAATATACCTGAAAGTAATCCGCCCACGGATTTCTTTCCTGAGAAGAAAGAATAGATTGTATGAGCGGGAAGTAAAGGAAAGGCGCAATTGGAGGGAATAAATGCATATCTCAAGGTGGAATCCATCTACTCGCAATATCAGAAGTAAATTTCTTGACAGCACAGAATTCTTCTTTTGTTTTGTGTTGTTCCTTTTTTTTCGTTTCATTTATTTTTTTCTAAATGATGGGCGAAATTGGATGCAGTTTCAGTTGGTTAAAATTATTTTGGGAATTTTTGTATCATTAAAAAAAATTCTACCGTATTTCTATTTTGGGGAATGTCGACCAAAGAAAAATTGAAACGTGCTCGAACAGTGGGAGAAGTTTTATTGATTCTAAATATGCCTGAATATTTACCACTTTTTGAGAAAGCTAATATCCTTCAAGCATCAGCCTTAAGGCTATTAAGGGAAGCTGATCTGAAGGTATGTTCAGTTAGTTAACATGATATTTTCAAAAAGATCGATACATGTATTTTTGATGTTAGTTTAAAAATATTTTTCAGCTTATTTTGCTACTATTTTTTAATTTGCAATTCAGATTTAGTAAACTAATGATTAAATCATTCATTTAAAATTTTATCATCTTCCTTGTTTTTATCATATGTAATCTTTAAGTGTATTGGCATTGACAATTCTGGACGACAAAAACTTCTCAGAGTGATCCAATATTTATCAAAAAATGTACCGGTAAGATAATTACGAGTTTAAATGTAATTGATTAATATAAAATAGATACCATCTTTCTTCTCTTCTACATTTTTATGGATTTTTATATGGTCTTTATTGTTTTCCTATTTGTATTTGTCCAGTTATTAAGATGACTGTTAATGAAAAAATCCGACAAGGAATACATCATGCGATGAATGTGGAAGACATCCCGAAACATCCCAAAATTAATGAGGAGAAGTTTCGTTTGCAAAAGGTTATTGCAATTCACGACTTGTTAAATATGGAAATTACAGGAAATCAGCCAACAATCAATAGTATTTTTAATTGATAATTAATGGAAATAATAATTAATTGATGAAATAGCATTATGTGTACGACCTGCCATTTATTAACAATGAAGTGGCGTAATTGTACGCGTCAATAGATTAAGCGGATTCCTAATAGAAACTGACATCAGTATTATGTTGCTAATGATCTACACTAATTATGGTAATACAATTACAATTTTAGGCAGAGGATGAACTGTTGCGATGTAAAGTGGAATTAAATTTAAAACGAAACGAATTAGCGCGAATACAAAAGCAGACTAAATTTATTCGTGAGATATTTGAAATGACAACTGATACAAGAAAGTATGCGCAGAAAGTTCGAAAAAACTGCAGCGAATGTGGCACTTTATCCATGCAACAATTAGCTATTAATCTGGAAAGTTTACTAAATAACGCTTTCCTACCGAATGCTAATGCAAATCCATTAAATGTATGTTTATATATCATTCATTAAAGCATTTTATTATCTGACTGATAATTTGTTGAAGTATTCTTAAGATCACATGCATATTATTTTCAACAAAACATACCATCCTTGCGATTATAAGTCAAAGTATGTTAATTTTCAGCAATATTTACCTGAATTATTACCGTTACAACCATCGAAAAAAAATAACACTCGTCTTTATTATTCAAATGAAACTGATCCTGATCCGTGGTATGCGAAAATTTTGAAATCTGCAACTATTCGGCGCTATAAACAAGTATCAAATTTTCTTATAAAATTTTATAACTTAAATTTCATCTGAGAAAAAAAAAATCGATCACAAATATTGTACATTATGCCTGTGAAGAATTTCATAAATTATTGTAAATTTTCGATATTTCTAAACACCAATGTTCTGATTTACAATAGTGTTATTAATTTTTTGATATCGGAAAGCTCCATCTTTTTTGAGAAATTTTAAATTGGCAGAAATTCCTGACTATTCTCCATCAACCATTTTTATGAGTTTTGCAGCCTCCTGATGTAATTTATTATCATCCACCGATCGATGAGGAAGACGAGAAACATGGCGACACAACAACAATATCACTGTCAACTCAAGCAGCAGCACAACATGAACATCTAAATTTTGTGGATGGATTGTTCTCAAAATTTGGAAAAAACAAAACATCAACACCTTACAAGCAGCCATCGACAGTCAAACGATTTTCAAGCAATGCACGCCATCATTCATTCGTTCATCACTCACGCCAAAAGTACTTTTATTACATTCTTTACTTTATTGACTTCAGCTCATCCATTGAAAGACTTATAACCGATAAAATGGCGATTTCTATTTTCAAGCTTTCTTCGATAAAATATAGTTGTGCTATTGATCTCATCAGAATCACTATTTCAAAAAAAATTATTAACTAACTCGAGTTGATCTAAAACAAACTGATTCAATCGGAAAAACGAACTTCACTTAAGTCTCGAATCTCATCTATTCATTGGATTGTCGATCTATCATTTCGACCCATCACAATTATTTCATCCGAAATGCTCAAATTATCCCCTCTCACATATTAATTTAAATTTCAGGGTTAAAAATGTATTTAGGAAAGCGGCATGGCGCTGAATTCAATCACTACAATATGCTTTAAAAAAAAAAAATCGTGAATTCCTATTCCAAAATGTTTTTGTTATGCCTATGAATGTGATGATTACTTCTTATTATTTATATTGATAAAAAATTATTTGATCTTCGGAAATTTATAACAGCAAATGCAAAAGTCGTTTAAAAAAAAAAATCTTTCCTTTCTATACCATGACGACATGAATGTCTGCTCACCAACTTGACAACAGCAATAACAATAACAATTAATAGCAATAAGGGAGAGGGCTATATAATTAAAGAAATGGCATTCTATGGCTAAATTATAAAATAATCTGAGAAAGGTAATATAGTACAAGAGAAAGGATGTTAAGTTTGAGTTTTGAATTAGCCAAAGTAGAAGCCATTCTCTACAATCTTCCGAAAAACAGTTGCAGAGAGGAAATTTTGTAAGAAAAGACATCAGTTGTTAAATAGTACTTGGTAACGATGATATTTGCAGTAGTGCAATATGAGTCCAACGGAAATTTTTACTAAATTGAAAAGAAACATCGATTAAATCAGATCATGGCGATAGCTCTGTCGTGTAAATGCTTACATGAAACAATTGTTAACTAAAACAGATGATTGATTTGCATTTGATTAACTCATACGACGCTTTAATATCCATTAAATTCCCATGTTCAAGAAATTTCTACCCATGCTTGTAGATATTAGAGCAGAAAAGCATGCGAAATTTTGAAATGAGAATTAATAGATTCACGTTATATCACTTTTCGTGAACATTTGATAAGTTATTGAAAAAAAAAAAGATTAAAATACAGTATTAGTATTCTTAATTGACCAAACAACCTGTTTTTTTTGAACTTGAAGAAATCGTTTCACATTCCCATTTGCTATTCATTTTTCAGACAAACACAGTATTTTGAAAGAAAATATTGAAATAAAATGAATAACTTTGCTAAAAAATTATAACAGCGAATTCTTTGTTGTTAAAGTATCGCTTGTTCTCATATTTTACCTGTAAATAATCTTCACGGAGCGAATGTTGATGCTTGTAAAGCTGAACACAAAAACTGGCAATGATGTTTAGTTCATTTATATGTTTCAAAAAACATAACAGATCTAACCGAGAAATTGTGTATAAATTCATAAGATAAAATAAAATTTTGCTATATTCATTTAATGTGAAATTACTGCAGTACAATATTTGAAATTTGCTGTAGGAAGAATTCAACAAGTACAAAGATCATACACTTTCTTCCATAGCAAAACAAAAATCAAAAAAAAAAAAAAACTATCTGAATGACGATGACAACATTCTGTTATTTGCATGATAATAGCAATGCGATTGTGGTTTAAAATAAAACAAAATACATTTCGGGTTAAAATAATCGCATCCATCGAAGAATATTCCATATACTGTCGAGATTTGCAATACAAAGAAGTCTGCACATTGAAAATAATCTGTAGAAACTGCAAACCATGTTGCTGTATCCTATCAAAATAAATCACAATTTGTCGTGCAGTTCCAATAAATGTTATGTTCCAATGTTATAAAATCTGAACGATTGCATTGTTCAGAATGATTTCTCCTGTATTTCAGAGCAATTAAAAATTCGAAATGCTGAGGAAAAATCCTGGAATGCTTAAAAATCGAAACACAACCATATAAATGCATCACCAGAATCATTTTACCTGTAATATTTAGTTTTATAACATAACAGTATAGTTGCCACCAATTAAGAAATAATTATGACAAATATCTGCTTCATATTGCTTATTTTTCGGCCAAGGACAATGTGTTCTATTCTCAGTCCTTGCATTGCTCACCACCATATTTGGATGGTACAGAAAAACGATCACACTGATTTCGATGGACTATAAACTTTGGATGCTCAGTAAAAATAGTTGATAAATTACTACTATTGGAAATTTATTCGATTATTTTCAAAAAACGAGCAATTAGAAAAATCATAATTATCATTATTGCTTGTAAAGCGCATTCTACACCTGTTTTCCCTCAATCTTCAACTCTATCAGAAGAGATGTTTGTTTGTTATGACTATAACGATCCGACTGTGATGATTAAGTTCAAGCTCAGTTTCAGGCTTACTTCCCCGTTTTTCCGAATTTCACTTACTTCACTCAAAATGTAAATGAAAAAGGATGAAATGTTTATTTGCATTTTTGATTGATAACCGTGTACTTTGAAGGTTAGGAGGAATAAAAAAAATGAACGAACATGGATCATGCTAAAAAAATTATTTTAAAAACGATAGCTGATTTAGTATTTGATTGAAGATGCGAAAAATATTCGGAAGAAACAGGAACATGAAATAAGAAGCAAGAAAGTTCTAGCAAAACTTGCCGCATCTGCAGAATGAAATAATGAAAAACAATTATCGTTAACTGACAGGACAACAATTAACAACAATATACTTCATATAATTAAGTTTAAAATATTAGAAAAACCAGATTTTACTGAGAATTTTGAAAAAGTTTAAATCAATATTGCCATTTTACAAAAACCAATTATGCACTAACCGAAATTCATACTTAGAAATTGTGAAAGCAAGTTTTGCAAATCTTCGTACATGCAACAAGTTTTACTTACCTGAGGAAATAACAGTTAAATGCTTCATATCATTGTTATGTATTTCCATGCAACAGATATCACGGGATTTTTTTTTGTGAGATAAAAAATGCATCGAAATTGTGGGAAAAAGCTATAAAATTAGAAACAATTGCCATGAAATAATTGTAACCTCTTTTTTGAAGATAATTAAAAATGATTTTTATGTTTTTTTAAAATTCAATTTTGCGGTTGGTGAAAAGCTTCGAATCTCAAGTCCCTTTAATTCAGAAAAATTCGGAGGCTCTCTAGGACACATCAATAGCAAATATTTGATAGGTTTGAAGGTTTCTGCCAACCTCAAAATTTGAGTTAAATTACTTTTTTTAACATTCTGTTTAACATTCTGTGTGAGTACTGCTCTATGCATATCAAATTTTTTTAGAATATTCAAAAAACTCGATGTTAGATTGCATTCCACTTGGTAGCAATATAATGGGTAGAAAAACGTGAAATATAATAAAGGGAAAACTTATATGAACTTATAATTAAATGACAATTGTCAGGGCAAACGTTTTCAAAAAGACAGGTATCAAGAATTATTAGCCCATACAAATGTATGAATTCTATGAATGAATTCATTGAATCCGATGTGGAGAAATTCCTCATTTTTTCAATTTTTTTAAATTGAATATATTGTGGTTTTTTCTCAGTCTTATCATGTGTTTTCTCCATATTTCAGTATGAATTCACTTTCATTCGTAACAATGCAATAAAATGTTAAAATACTGTATAAAGCAAAAAATGACGCAAAGAGTGATCTTCGTATAAAATATTACAATTTAAACCAAGAAAGACATATGACCAACAGCTTGTTTTGTGTCAAAATAATTTGAAATTCTAATATTATAACAAAATCGATTTAAAATAACAAAACGGAACACATCAACAACTCAGTGTAAAAATCTGCTCTTTTTAAAATACGATAAAAAATAAGTAGTCCATACATAACCACCATTTGTCACAATTCATGACAAATAAGCTTTCTTCCTCACAGCATATAGTAGAAAAATATCGAAATATGAGTGTGAAGCATTTAGGGGTTTAAATTTAAAAAACGCTCAGTTTAAGCGCTTTAAGAACTAAAAATTGGAGCAGATTGACATATAATTGTACTTGACAAAAAGTTGATGTCCAAAACTTTGAAATGAAGAATGTGCTCTCTTTTTTAACAGAACTTCTATCTTTTAACAACTTAAAATTAAGAGATATTAGAAGAAATTTTTCATAAAAGGAATATAAAGGTAGATACTGTCTTTTTTGGATTTCTTATTAATCATTAATTATCTCAAATATCAAAATTATCTGGGAATAATTTATAAAGATTTAGAAAAACCCATAAAATGATTTGAGAGAATTTTTGACCAAAAAATATTAAAATAATTATCGGTACTTATCGAGAAGCACTAGTTAACATCCTAGCAACAAATACTCCTATGGACAACATCGGGATTCATCGCACGTCTCTTCGCAATTGTAATTTTACTTTTAAATACAACCATCTTTTCCTTCACAACGAAAACGAAGAAAGTTCCCTAAAAATATTCACCGGAATTCAACTTAGAATCACCGAGAGTTAGAAAGTAAATTTTGAAATTGGAGACGATGTTCATAGGCAGTCTGAAAAATGTTTAAAATTTGAGTGAAGTTTAAAATAGTATTTAAGAATAAAGGCAAAAGCGGACCAAGTTTCAAATTCCATGAACAAACCAAGTATGGGAAGTGGCGCAAGAGCTATTTCCACCATTGCAAATTCTCATAAGCTTCCTGTTTTTGATGATATTCGTCTCCTCAGCCAAATGCTTAGCTCGTTTATTCGTCCGCGATATTGAGACTTCATTCTGAGAAAAAAAAAATCTAAATTGCGAATTATCAAAAAAAGAACTTCAGTGATATGGAAGGAGAGGTATCCATGTATAAGCTTATTTCGATAAAATTTTATTATGAAATGAGAATTATAGAGAAAGGGAAAGCGAGAGAGAAGAAGCATCAAACTGAGAAATACAATATAAGAATCGTGTTCTACAGCTAGAATAAGAACATAAAAGTAACTATTTCTTTATAACTGGAACTGAAAAGAAACAAACGAACAAACAAACTTTCATTGTCTGAAAGATACGAATTAATCGTTTTAAACTGAATGATATGAATTTGTAATTACTTGATAAACGAATAATTAAACTGGAAAAAAACTTAAAAACACTCAAAAAATAAAATTTCACTGAGATCTCTTGGTAAGAATGGAAAATAGAAATGGCATATGTTGCAAGTTCAGTAATTTCTAACACGTGGAAGAGACCTCCTACCACTGCCGATTTCGTAAATCGCAAATTACATCGATACTGATATCCTAGCTGCACTAGGGGTCTTAGTATAATAAAACTGTATAATACAACTTCTTCCGGTTTCGTCCTACTTTGTATGCTCATGCTCACGATTTAATCATAGCATAGCGTAGTATCTAGCAGAGATTTTTAGATTTCATTCTTTAGAAAAGCAAGTGTATTCCGAGTACCATACATATTGTATAGCACTTGGAATGCACTTGCTTACATATTGCATTTGAAAAACTACCATTCTATAAAATCTGAAAATATGTAAAATTTAATACCCGTAAACACTGTCTATGCACCATATCGCATTTCGTGTCAGGAGGACAGCAATGAGTGCGGTCGTCGCAGCACACTGCATCCATTATCGGGCAACAACCATATGTACCAACATCAATTAAACAACAAGTTGCTGTGTCCGGACATATTGATTTGCCACCAGGACAGGTATGTGCAATCTAAAATACAGCGACTATTTCACCTGAAACTTGAAATTTAAGAGTGCAGTAAGATAAAGTGAGGATACTGCTATAAAAACTATATTTTGATTATTTTTTGAAAACTATTATTTCTTGATATCTCTTGAATATATAACGCTCAGTCTGTTCTTCGTATTAAGTCTGCATAAATCTTTATGACAAACTTATTCCCAGGTTTATTCCATGATTTTCTGCGTACCAAATAAAAGTCTGTTTTATCAAATTTCATCCGCTTAATTTTCGTAAGAGATCTAAATGAGATAACAATCGATAGTTATTCAGTTGTTGTTTAAAAATGCGAAAAGTAACGAAGAATCAAAGTACGAGAAATTAGTAGAGAAATCAATGTCTAATTTTTTTCAGTTAAACAACCATAATCGATTATCATCTCATTTTACGAAAATTGAGAAAACACAGACGCAGATCTGTTTTTGTCCCAACTCCTTCCCTTTTCCAAAAACACATGGTAAAATATACTTAAAGAACTTTTAAACAACAACAGCACTAGCTCCAACCGCCAAATTTGTTATTCGTTTTGACTATCAATCCTACAATTCTATGAAAATTAATAAAACTTACTAAAACTTTAACAGAGGTGCCAATAGTGAGTAGGAAAACAAAAGACAATATCATATTTCCTAAAATAAATTTATCTTTCATCCAAAAAATAAACATTTAAATTTGGCAAAAAGAAAAAAAGTAAAACGTTAAAAAAAACATTTTACTGACCATTTTCTCTTTCTCAATTCCTGGTTATCATAAAGTGTGTTACAGATATAAAAAGATATCTGTATTCTTGCATACTTGAATATGGTACAAAACTTGATCAGTACCTCACATTATTAACCTTTTATTATTTATCCTCCGACTATTTTGAAATCAAAGTAAACGGTGTACCCATAAAATGTAGAATAATATTATCAGTCTATGGATGAAGTACTGAAAATCTGACAGAAAGGTAAGCCACTACTTTAACAACTTCCTAATAATAATCCTTAAAGATTAAAGAAACTTGAAAATAATAACCTTTAAAGATCAAAGATTAAAGAAAAATAACAACCTTTAAAAATAATAATCCAATCACAGTAAATATTTCAGCATATATTAATTTGTTTTCATACAAACGGTTGGCACACCTGATATTAATTCGACAAAATTTGATGCCTATTTATCCCAGATAATAAGAAAGGATCCCGCTGCTACACAACATCAGGAACAGGTTTACTATTGGAAATGGTGAAATTGATGACAGACTAAAATATCAATTGATAGAGTCGAATAGTGGAAAAGAAGATGCACTACTGAAAGACATCGCAATCCATTGCTAATATTCATGTATAGATGAAAGCCCATTTTATCATGATAACCAATATAACGGCAAAGAATCCCTGAAAAGAATAACAGTGACGTAACACATAATCTTTACACTTCCGATATCCCAATTTCTTATCATCATATGTTTTTGCCGTAATTTAGTTAAAGCTACCGACTCACGTCTATTACTGCAACGTTTAATTGTTCCTCACTTAAAAGTCAATCCATAACGGAGTATGATAGAGTGAATGCAAAATGACACAACAACAAATTGATAGGAATTTACTAATCAATGATTCTGGAAAGATATGGTTCATAAATTCAATAATGAAAAGAGAAAAAAATTTATGAGACAACTGTACAGATCCAATCAGCTAAACTTTAATCACAAAAAATTCCCATCTTGAGACCAACAATTTCAATTCGTCCTATGAATACACGTTATCGCCCCAATACACTGAAAAGAAAGTGCGGGAGGATGGAAATGTGAATTCGTTCTTTCTGCTTTTTGCACTTTCGAAGAGTTTCTGTTGGCAATATTTAAATGTATGCTGTAGAAGGATATCCCATTATTAAACTATTTTATTTCGCATTATCGTTTGAAAGTTAGAACAGTTTCAGAAATTTTTCAAAAGCTCCAGAAAAAGTCTACAAGGTATCTAAAGTCTAAAGAGTATTCAAATGAAATGAAATTTTGAAAATTTTCAGATAATGCTTGAGTGATTTCTCAAAAAATGACGAGAACACTGTCTGCAAAAAATAACTCTTCTTCATTTCATATTGAGACGCCAAACTTTTTTGAAAACATTGCAAATTCACCACGGTTTGCTCGTTTATTTATTCGAATCGAAATATCTGTTATTACCAAAATATTCATTCATTGGATAAAATGTGTACTTTTGTGTAATATGTAGGATAAGTAACTGAAGTAATCCAAGCACTTACCAGATTAATAAAAACCTGTTGAAGCTTTCAATCCCCCGAAATTACGGATTCTGCGGAGCACAATTTATGGATGGAAGCGCAACTCAAAGCCTTTGAATTATCAAGCCCTCTTCAGGATGACCATGTGGAAAATGTGAAGAAATCAAAGATTCTGAAAGATATGTATTTTTTTTTCTTTACCTAGGCTTTTTCAGTTTAGAATTTATAAATTTAGTTTCAGTTATTATATTGGTTAACATCCTGTAGTTCCTTTTTACAACTTTTGCTATATTAAAGTTTAAAATAACTTTACAGAATCAATTCAATATTATAGGTGTTAGAGCATTTGTGGATGTAAGATTGAACAAAACGTCAGTTCTATGTCAAATGTTATGTGACTTAGGAGCGAATGTTAACTTACGGTATGAAAGTTTTATTTTTAGAACTAAAATATATGCAGCAGTTTTGAGACTTATTTAATAAATTTTTTTTCCTTCAGAAGTTGTTTTACAGATCAAAGTACAAGATTAGTCATAGACGAGACAAATTAAATTCTGTAAAATACACATTTCATGAAATTGTCCATCTATACTTTGTTATGCTATAACTTTTAAAAAATTAGTAAAAAAACACCTTTTTATACTATCTACAAGTTAGAAAATCTGCCTTACTATTATTAAAATGGTTGTTATTACTAAAAGGATTCCAGCAACTTTATTTAACTGTTTCTCTATTACTTTTATATTTCTTTTAAGATTTTCGAGAAACATTACTCATTTAATATTCTGGAACGGTCGACAGGAAACGCTAGATAAAGCGCATCATTTGGGAACCAAAATTTCTATAATTTCTCCTCATTGGGTATTTAAGTAGGTTATTATTGCAGTATGTATTAAATTTTATTTTTTTTTCAAGTGATCTTAATCTGGTTTTTTTTACCCACCTAATTCTTTCTCTTGTTTTCAAATATACAGCATAATTCATAAGCTTCTTGTAACATTTTCTTTCATTACTTTTTTGTGCTGAATGGTAGTAAGTTCCATTCTTATTATTTTCATCTATTGCAGATGTTTCATGAATCTGATCCGAGCTGATGAAAGTCCCTTTTTACTATATGGTATAAAGGATCTTGCTGTTCCCATGCGACTAATGGCTATGGGACGAATGGGGACAGTTAACATGGTAATTGATCAGAAATAATAGCTAGCATTCTTGATATGAGTTATTGTTATGAATTAGTAAAGAAAGTTCTAATGCTGGATAGTTTACTCGTTCACAGCTGAACTGTTTTTAAAATCGATCGACTATAAATAAGACTTAATTGAAATACAAATTTTTCAGTTCTTGTATTTACTGTATTTAGTTCTCAAGACGTTTAAATATAATATGCGTATGTAAATAAGTGCTACTAAAATATTCTTTAGAGTTGTCATGACAGAGCCTTAAATTCAAGTGGCAGTTCACCGAACCAGTCACAGATAGTGCACGCAATTGAAACACTCTCCGACCAGCTTGCTTCCAAACTTAGTACGTTCCAGTATTATTGCATATGATAAAGATTATAGAGTCATCTCTTTTCAGGCTTTATATGTTGAATAGTGTACATTAATTTTTAGATATTTTAACCCTGAAATGTCTGCTTTTATACTGCATAATAAGCATTCTTTCTATCACCCTCATTTATGCACTTGTTTTTAGTTGGTATATCACAAATTCTTCACTAGTATTCAATATCATAAACATAGCAGTAAGGTGTCCATTTATATAATAATGAAAGGAAAGTTGGTAATGCTCGCCAAACTTTTGTACTTGAGTTTATTTTTTATAGATGTTTTCAAACTGATCGGTGAATTATAAAACGTAAAGCCCCTCAAAAAAATTAAAAGTTGTGGGAAAATTGAAGTGCCACTTTTTCAAATGCAGTAGATAAGAAAAAGTCATTTTTTAAAAATTATAGATTAAAAGTGAACTATATACAAACATCTCAGAAGCTGGGATTCGAAGTTGCTGAATTCCAGAATTCCACTTATTTGACAGAAATGTTACTGCTCATTTTAAATTATTATTGCAGCATCCCCAGCAAATAATGAAAATATTGATGTTGTGGAAATAATTTCACCAATTGTAGATCGTGTACGAAAAAGACTGAATGAACTAAGTAAGTGTATTAATACTTATTTTGTTATAGCATATAAAGAAAAAAATGAATCTGATGAAAAAGGGCAAAGCAGTAGCAGTGAATAATTACTCTAATTTCTTATTTAAAAAAATCAGAGATTTCAATTATTACAGTTTCAGACATTTTAAATTGTTATTCGCCAATGGAGACACCATTTAGAGGCTGTACATCTAATGCAGTTGATAAAAAAAATGTCTCTTTGTCATTGAAACATTCTGAGAATAGTGTACCCACTGAAGTATACAATATAGATATAATGAAGCAAGGGAAGGCTAAAGGTTTGTGGTTCAGTTACACATTATGTTATTTTATAATTTAAAAAGGGGTAATTCTTCCTTATGAGCCAGATTTTATTTTCAAATAAAGATTTTCCATAACATTAGTCTTTTAGCTGTTAATAGCAGATTTTAGAAAAGGAATGGATTTGGACTGTATTTTAAGAAATTTTTGGTTATACATAAATTTGAAACATATAACATCAACTTTCCCAGAATTTATATTAAATCTTTATTTTAAGATCACTATCGAGTCAGTAAAAAACAAAGAAGGCATACGATATCGCGAGTATCGATGTTTCGTGGAGAATCTGAGCAACAGTTTACAACTCCCACTACAGAAAGCTCAAATTCTGTTAAATCTGTTAGTTTAAATTGAATTTTTTTAATGAAATTTATTTTTGTTGCACATTTTCTTGTCCAAGAATGAACTTTTATTGATTTTATTATTGTTTGCTTTGCTGTAGGTAAATTTGGTGGAAATTACACAAAGTGAGCCAGTTAAAAAGCGCGGTCGGCCAACAATTGATTCTGAACAGTTAGCAGAGTATACACCAACTCGTTTTCACAAAGTGAGTGTTTTGCGCTAACCAATTTCTACAAGTAACATCTCTACGCTTAGAGATGTTACTTGTAGAAATTTTTTATTTAAATTTAATTTTTTTGAAAACTCACGATGGGGCACAAATCTAAAGGTATTTATGTAATGTATATTTATGCCTCGCTGTTCGTGAAAAAATAGTGAAACACTTTTTTAATAGTACCGAACAGTATATAATGAACTTCATGCCATGTCCAAAGGCACTATTTTACAAACATAATTTTGAATAAGGGGCGAAAAAATAACTCAATATATCTAGCAGCTTACCTAATTCATATTGTAGTATTTGCAAAGACGATTTCGTTCCGTAAGAGCAGAACACGCTGCACAACTAAATACACAAAAAATGGTGTGCATGTATAGAAAAATGATGGACCAGAACATTTCTAAAATTCGTTCAGATAACCGAAAGCTTTCGATAAGACGTTTGCTTTCATTTGCTTTCTTCTGATACAGTTTATAATTTTGTTCTTAAATGTCATTCAAGAATGGACATATTGAAATATGTTTATGTATTACTTATTATTCTTTCATTCTTCTTATAGGTATCTGACTTTCTCTGATTTTCTAGTTCATGTCCTATACATCTGAAGATTTCAACTGCAAATTGTAAATTTAGAGAATTCGAAAATGCGACCGGTAGTAATACGAACTCGTTCATCAGTCTTAAATGAATTGCAAAATGTTCCCAGTTCGAATGAATTTGTGAAAAAAAAGAAGATTGCAAGGAAAAAAGTGAAAAGTGGTAATATTATACTTTCGGGAATTAGTAAGATGTAAGTTCGTGATTTTCAAATTTTTCGAATTTTGTTTTTTTTTATTTTCTTATTTTTCAAGTCCAAATAATTTTTAACGTACGTTTCTACTGCAGTGAGAGAGAGACAGTTTTTGCAATAACTAAGAAATTGGGTGTGCTAAAAATTGCAAGCACTGTTGACGAACGTACTCGTTATGTGGTGAGTGATGAAGAGGGAGTGCGCACAGTTAATGTCATGCGAGCTCTAGTCAAGGGCATACCAATTGTCACAATTGAATGGGTATCATTTTTATAATTTGACATTTGTAGGGACATTGAGCTAGCAATAACGCAGTTAACTTTAAGACAAACTCCTAAATTGATAGTCAAATTAATCATGCCTATGAATTAATCAATTTACTACAAGTTTTGTAGTATATAGACATGATTAATTTACTGACTATCAATTTACTGGTTTAGGTTTAAGATTTGACTGCAATGCAATTTGAAATAATTGATACTGTTTCTCGTTTTTATTCTTTTTATACAGATAGCAGCATTATTTCTATCTAACCTTCCAATTCCTCGTTTCTCTTTTTTTTACCTTTTTTATATTTCAAAAACTTTGCTAATTCTTAAGCAAGACTATTTCTCTAGGCCTACCGCTCGTTGGAAATTGGTGGCTGGCTAAAAGGAAGTGATTTCTTTGTTCCACGATGGAAAATCGCTCATAGGGCGTGGCTCGATGGTCACATGCTTCGTTTATTCTCTACATTAGGACCGTTTTATGTTTCTTCTAAATGCGAACCTGAAGCGAAGCATCTTTTATATCTTATCAGATGTTGTCATGGAAAAGTTAGGCTTCTTTCTTCTGGAAATGATTGCTTCTTTCCGTTCAGAATACGAAAAATAGTTTCGAAATTAACTGCAAAATATTCCAAAGCTTCAGGTAACAGAATCATTGAGTCGAGCTGTTATATTTGTCGCACCTCAATCAGAATGGGAAACACTCATGCAGCTCAGGAAGGACACTGATACGCAGCCAACATACATTACAGAGAAATCGTTATTAGGTACTGTCATCAACTTGCTGACATTTTCTGAAATATATGAAGGTCGCATTTCCGAAAAAGGTCTCTCATTAATGGTAAATTCGATTATGAGTGTGTGGCATGGGATTGCAGATGTCCAATCTTTTTCTCCAAAATTTTTTAAAATCAAAATCAACTTTTTTCTTCCAAGACTTTTTTAAATTGAAAAAAATTTGTTTATAGCTTATTTTTTATGCAGATTCAATATGCGAGTGCAAAATCAATTTTTTGCTATGACTAGCAGTGAAGAATCGTGCTCTGCTAAGTGATCTTATCGTTTTGAATTGCAAAATCTGCAAATTTTGACATTTGTAGTCTTTACAGTAGTTTTGAAGTTATCTTATCAGTGTGCTTACAAAGCATTTTTTTCGGTTATGCTTTTAATATTTCGTTGTGTTATAGTCTTGCTCTTCAAATAGGCATTATTAAATGCATG